CATAAGAAATTGAATAGACAAAAAAAATCAAAAGCAAAAAATAAAATAAATATAAACCATAGATAAAACAAAAAATACAATCAATAACTAAAATCAACTCAAATGAACATCAAATTAAATATGAAAAAGCTGCTTTCAAAGAACTTTTCTACAAACTATTCAAGCCAGTCAGCTCTCTACCAATTCCTCACAATTTGCAGCGGTCACGTTTTCCATCCGCCGCCGAATGCGAAGGTCCTGTTGAAATTTTGCCGGAGTAACTCAGGTCTTAAATCCAGCAACTCATAAATCTAAAATCAAACCTGCATCTTCTTCACCTCCTCCGCAATTGTCGCGTTCTTCTCCTCGTGCCCCGCTGTCTACTTCCAGCCGATCCGAGTTTAGCGACCTTCGGCTCGAATTCTGCGTACTCTGGCTCCATAGCTTGGCCCAACCCTTTCGTTGAGTAATCTCACACGACAAGGAAAAACTTATCGTCTTCTGGAAAGTACCTCGAAAAACAGATAGGACGCCATTGAAATATGGCTAGATAACTTCGCGGTGGTGGTGCCGCGGAGGTGCGAGTGGGGCGGTGGGAGTTGGGGTTTGAGGGAAGATGAGGGCGATTGATTTGAAAAGACTAGAGACTGAAAAAGTGTAATTGAGTTTTTCACCATTTCGTAATTGTGACTTCAGTAAGTCTAATGTGCGAAAAAAAATTAATTTCGTTAAATGGACCATATAAAAAGCTGGGCTCGTGCGAAGGGTAATTAACTCTTTTGTAATTGGGTAAAATTTAATTTAGGTATAATGGGCTTTTAATCTATATCTATATTATAAATATATAATTGGGAAATTTTCAGTTGTTCTATGTGATTGTGAAAATATTACACATATATCATTCAAAAATAAATAATTGTGTATATACCTAAAAGATGACATTAAATTAAACTAATGCCTACAATCTGTTACTTCTCTTGGGCGTGATTCTCGTTCGTTTCAACAAAAAAAAAAAAAAATATTGCAGTCCGATCTTTATCTTCTGCCGCCATGGATGTCCCCCACCCCGCCTCCGATTCCTTTCTCCTCAACACCGTCGCACGCCTCCACGACCTCCGCAGAGATGGCGAGAAATCAGTGGATGAATTGGTGGCTAGGATTTACCGGGCCTCGACTGAAGTTTCGTTGTCCGATCAACGACGGATGTGATGATGGGGTCGTCATTGGCGATGGTGGTTTGCATCGGCCATTTTGAGGTGGCGATTGGAGAGAAGAATGTGCTAAAATCGATCAGGTCGAGCATCGTCTGTGTGAGAAGCAAAAATTGGGAAAAATTGCAAAATCGCAGTATATATATCACAGTCGACTATATATTATATTTTTTAAATATATTGTACATATACTGATAATATACTGTAGATATACCAAAATACAACACAAACGATTGAGGCGTGATCGATCTTTTTTTCTTAAGAAAAGTTACGCAAATATGCCACAAAATAAGTTGACGGGTCGATTATTTGTTTATGCTTTTTTTTTTATTCATTTTAACGTTCAATGAAACGTACATGAATTTATGGTTTTTTTAAGCAAAATATACCCAAAAAAAGAAGACATATATTCTGATATCACAATCGATTATATATATAATTGACATACACTGTACATATACCGATCATATACTGTACATATACCACAACACAGCATGTATCAGATCTTGAACTCACCCCTGCAGCCTGGTATTTCGGCAAAACGAGCATATGTCGGATCCCGACTTGCGTGATGGTATCTCCTAACTGCGCGAGCACCATTTTCGCTGACCTCCGGTGATTCCAACTGGATAGTTTAGGGTTCAAATTAAGGTTCCGATGAGTTTTCTTGTTCGGTCGCTGGAGGAGAGAGGGGCACGGGCGTTGCCATATACAGTTTGGTGCTTTGAAGAAGAGAGAAACAGAGAGAGGGAAGAGGATGAGAGCGAGAGAGATGGTGAACGTGACCGTTTTTAGAGAGAGAGAGAGAGATAATTAAGTCAATCAATTTATTTGGTAAGTAAATCTCACTATATCAGGTATATTTGAATTATTTTGTGGATCTTTAGGCTATTTTATAAATAAAAATAAAAACGTAACAAAAGTGTTATATAAATTAAATAGGATAGTATGGGATGTAAATTTCTCTATATAATTGCTAGCTGAACATTTAATATTATCTATTAAACTTTACCTAATACATTTTACCTAATTAATTTTACCTACATGGAAAATTTTTCATACTCTAAAACTATTACTTTCTTTAAATATGAATTCAATTAGACAAGCATCTATGTATGCCCAATCTATATCTTTATCTATATAATAAGAATAACCATTTTACTTAAAATAGTAGTAAAAAATTTTGGTGACATTTAATACATACCTTTTTGGGAAACTTTTTAAATATATGCATTAATTGCTTTCATATACCCATTTTCAAATAAGATCAAATCAGATATGATAAAAAATATTGTATCCTTAAACAATTTTACTACTATTTACAATAATTCATTGATATCTATTATAATAAATTAAAACATTGATTTTTCGTGATTCATTTAGATAATATTTTGGCCAAGATAACTACTCCAACATATTTTAAGTTCTAACCATAATATTTTTTTCACAAATATTCACTTTTTATCCAAAAATATTTATAGAAAATCGTAACAGATTAGGTAGAATTTTTTCTTCCAATTAATCAGGCGAAATCAAGTTGGTGAACTAATCTTTGTTGATATAGTTTTTTACTAAGATTTATTCATTATATATAAAAAATAAATTATTTTTCAAATTAATATAATTTACCATTTAAGAGATAATGACCAGATACATTAAATAGTTTTACTAGTGGTCAAAACTTAAAAAAATAAAAATATATTAACTATTCTTTAGAATTTATTCTTATATTATTGACAACCATGATTATTTTTTTTTATCATTTTTTTAAATTTTGATTTCTTTCTATAATGAAATTCTTGTAAAATATATTTTTATTGCAAAGTATGCTAAATAAACTGTAAATCCTTATAATGAAAATTAGAAAAATCTTGATTATAGAAAGGGTTGAGTTTTTGGCATTTGCTAAATCAAATTTGTTTAATTTGTATACAAAATTAAATTCTAAAAAAAAATGTGCGTATATTTTGTAAAATGTTTATACACTATTTAATTGTAAATTTATTTACATAATTTTAATGGATTACATAAATGAATAATACTAATGAGAATTAAACATTTTTTATTACATAATATAAAAAGAAAAAGAAGATGTACAATTTCTATAACTTTTATAAATAATAATGGCATTGTTTGACTATAAAATTTATAATAAAATAATAATTAACTATTATATGGTGAACAAAAATAAGTAAAACTGTTAATATATATATATATATTAAAATCAAAATTATATTAGTATATGTGTTAGTGAGATATATATTAATTATTTTACAAGTTAGCCCTAATATGCTTATATTTAATGTTCTGACAAAAAATAAAGAAAAAAAACAACGCTCATTAAAAGAGGGAAAAAATATATTATAACAATATTTTGTTTAGACTTAACGCTGATTAAAAGATGTGGAAGCTATTGCTTTTTAGACTTAAATGGACGAGGTCTGTGAAAATAACTCATTTAATATTTCTGTCCCGTGTATACATGTAAAATAAGTAAATAATATAAGCAAATAGTAGTAGATCCAAGATTTAAAAGGTGAACCTACAAGAAAAAAAAAAATAATAATATATATCACAAGTATTTGGTTCATGACTCGTTTGTGAATGGTTTATGCATGATCTTAAGCTGAATTTTCGTATTTTTTTTTTTTAAAAAAAAAACAGTAAATATAAAAAGAGCTATGCAAGTTTAAACTTCAAATGATATGTTATATAATTCAAGTAATAATTCAGCTCATTTCCTAAAAGTCAAGTCTTCTAATGGAATTTCACTTTTTCCGTACGCTTAAATGTGCTTTTTTAATCTTTTTTGTGTCACTTTTAATAAATGTTACTTTTTTAATCTTTTTTAATCTTTTTTATAATTGATGAGGTGAAATAAAAATGTGAAATTGGGTAACAATCAAGTCCACACTTGTTTTTTTAATGTAAGATGCATGTGTTAGAAATTGAAATGATTTACAAATGGTGGTTCTCTATCTTTCTCTACTTGGCATTGAGTCATAAAGATAAATATGTTCACTTGGACCATAAAATATAAGTTGACCGTTGTACTTACTTCGGCAGAATAATGTAATATTGCATGATTTTCTCTTTTACAATGATCACATTGGCTTTGCAATTGCCGATGATGTCATTGGTATACACGGTGGATATGAGAATGAAATCATCTCTTTCATATTCTATTTTTTTCAGTTACTTTGTGAATTTCAGTATATAGGATGAAATTATTGAGCTTTAAATGGTTGGTTGAAAATCACTCAAGATGAAGAATTCAAAAGATTCAAAGTCATGTTTTATGTTGTATCATATGCAAATAATAATAATAATAATAAATAATAATAATAATAATAATAAATGTGATTGTAGGCTCATCACATAAAGTATTAATTCTTCAATTTTCTGCTCCAATTTGTATTACCTTTAATTAATAGATTAGAAATTTATTTGAAAGATTAACATCATTGTTGATATTCTTATGTGGTTGGTCGGGTAGTAACATGGCTGCAAAGAAGATAAATAAATATAGAGAGCATCCAATATGAATAAAACTGAAAATTACATGGAAATCGTTGTAAAATTTCTGCTCTGGTCTTGTTTTTATTTCCATATGAGACCAACAAAGAAAATTACAACTTTTCACCTCCTTTTAAAGTTTAGAACTATACTCAAATATCTCTTATTTATAAATTTCAATATTTTGTAACTGCTACGGCGTAAAAACATTTGCTGGTATTTTCAACTTTTTTATAGTTTATTATTTAAATTGGAATATTTTTTAGTTATCTTTTTGACAACCATGTATAGAGTATTAAATCAATAGTTACAGATATCTCTAATTTGAATCAATAGATTTATTCTTTCAAGCCTCGAATTGATGATCGACTATTTTTCGGAACCCAAATCGATAGATCTATAATAAATCCATCTTTCGATACCCAAACTGAAAAAAACTTCCCAAAAAAGTAAAAATCTAGTTTTGGCATTACTCTATCAGAATAACTATGGGTTCATGTGACCACACATTTACAAAATAACAATTGGATAAAAGTGTTTAGTATTGGCATTAGTTTCTTTCAAAATAAAACTTTGTACTCTCTTATTCTTTAGCCAATATCTGGTCAGATACTTTACACTATACTGATTTCGTTTTTCAGGAGCAACACAACATATTGATGGAGCACATAGCTTATAGGTACAACCTTCACCTGATTTAATATGCACCTTTTCTAGTTATGCACGAGATCTGTTCAGTCCACGCTTGCTAGAACTTGTATGGACTTCGCTTCAGGCGAGTTTTGCAAGACTTAGGCTTTGCTAGCGACACATGTATAAATCTACCCTCAAAAAACTGGACATCCTCACCAAACAAATTCTAATTAATGAAAATGTATGAACAATAAATTAAACCGAACATATATTGAGACAGAAGTCGATTTATACCTTTCCATTCATCTCATCCACAGCAGCTCGTGCATGCTCTTCAACTACAAACCAGACAAATGCGGATCCTAAAGATAGCTTAGTTTTCTTGTCTCTAAAGATTTTCACTGCCAACATATACATATGTATATTTCAAGCTCAAATTATCTGTCAAAGGGGTGCAATGGTAGTCGATTGTATAGATGGTGTGAGGTCAAAACCTTGACTGACTTGTCCACAACGTGAAAAGGCCGCCTTCAAGCCTCCCTCTGAAGTCGATTGTGCCAGCCCTGTGTATAACAACAAATTGTACACTTTAGGCAGTCCACAGAAACTATTATAGTAAAGTTTACACTTTCTTGATTTAGATAAGTCAATTGTTACAGCATCAATCATTCCCACTAAGCAGTTGAGAGCAATAACAGGCCACAAACATTCTACATATTTTACTTTCCATTAATCTCCAGCTCAATATAACGGTAAATTACGTGATTTATAATTTAATTTGCGCAGATTTGCAACATATAAAGCTGGAAATTGTAAGATGTCAAAGAAAGCATTAGAATAGGGATGCACTGAAGTCCATAAATACCATTTTCCACATAGAAAGAAGAAGAAACAAATGGAATTATCACACACTGATTCGACCTGCACTATATAATTTTTTTTTTTATTTTTTTTATATATATATATATATATATATATATATATATACAAAAAAAGAATGATTTCAAGAATATCTTAGGATTTCAAAACCATTGATAAATCTATACCTTTGATGAAGACTATGACATTAGAGGGAGCTTCTATATCCAATTCATCTGGAGAATTCAAATTTGAGCTATGCTTAGCTGTCTGAATGAAAGTATCAGTAATAACATTAGATGGAGTAGAAACTGAAAATTGTGTAATTTTGAAATTGGGGGTTTTTGAAATTGAAGTTTTCGGCATTGTGGGTCTTTGAATTGCATAATTTCTTCGGAGATTAGGGACTATTATTGGGAGTTTGCAGGGTGAGCAAGAGAAGGCCATTCCGTGGAACCCTAGAGTTCGCTGCCCACTGTGCGCAACTTACAAAACCTTGCAGTTCCTCCTCATAAATAGATAATAAATTCGGCTATTTCCTTGATAGCCTCGAATTCGATAATCTATACTTATATTAAAGGGAGTATTATTTACCAAATTAAGTAGCAAGAAAAGTCAACAACATTTATTGCATTACTATTTCCGTATTATAGAATTCGATAATCTATACTTATATTAAAGGAAGTATTATTTACCAAATTAAGTAGCAAGAAAAGTCAACAACATTTATTGCATTACTATTTCCGTATTATATTATATAAAAGGATATTCTATTTACTACATTTATTATCCAGAAAAGTCAACTGCATTAAATGTCATTACTATTTTGGTATTATAATATTTTATTTATTTAATTGATTTATTTATTTATTTTATTTTAAAAAGGTAAGTATAATAAAAAGATTTTAATAATAAAAAAATTAAATACCAAATAAAAATGTACACTTTGACTTATTTGATTATATTTGGTATTTGATTATACCAAATATATTCCTATTTAGTATATACATTAAATACTTACTAAAGTATTTATTTGTTTTATTTGTCAAAGTTAAGTATAGATTTATTTATTTTATCAAATCATAAAAAATATTAAATCCATATTGTAAAAAAAAATAAAAAAAATTCATATAATTTTATAACAATTCTACTACACTATTTAACAAATTCCTTTTTTATTATATAATAAAATAATAATTAAATATTATATGGTGAACAACAATAAGTAAAATTGTTACTTTCTCTTATATCAAGGGATAAATTTATATGCTAAAATTAAATTTTTATTAGTATAAATGTTTTAGTGAGATAATATATTAATTATTTTACAAGCTAGCCCTAACATGCTCATATTTAATGTTTTAAAAGTTGTAAAAAAAAACTTATAATAACTCTATTGTTTTTTAGACTTAAACGTTGATTAAAAGAGGTAAAAATTCCTAATTTTTTAGACTTAAACGTTGATTAACACCATAGATTGAGAGTTTATATTTAGTAAAATTCCTAATTGTAATAAAAAAATTAATTTTTGCTCTATTTTAAAATATCTTTAAATTCATTATAAAAAAAAAAAGAAAAAAAAAACTACAATGAAAAAAAACAAGTCAGCTATATATCAATTTGTTGTACTCCTCAAATCACATTCACAATTTGGCTACAAGGAAATGAAACTCATTGATTAAAATATTATTTTGTCAGTAGTCTTATGTACAAGAGACTTTAAGACTCACTTGAATATTATAAAATTTTTATTGAACATCGTACAATTTCTTGCGTATTATAAACTTTTATTGAATATTGCATCTTATAATATAATATTCTCCAAATAAATATATCTCGCGGGTCACGTACTATATATATTCCGTACATTTTTCTTTATTCATGTATATAATTATAAGTCTAGATAAATAGCCTTAAAATTGTGCACCCCGTACATCGCACGGGCTCTGTACTAGTTCTCACTTACAAGTAGACATGCCCACGGGTCGTTCCGCATGAACTCGGCCCAGTCAGATCGTGTATCCGGCCCATACGGGCTGGGGTCGGGCTCAGAATTTGGCCATGTCTAATTACAAGTCAGAAGCCCAAGTATGAGAGAGTTGTTAAAAATTAAATAAATTGTATATATTTTTTTTTTAATCTCATTTTTAACTTTGCGTAATTTTTTTTTTAAATACTATACACTCCCCGACGGGTGATGGTAAATATCGATTGTCTGAAATGAACCATAACCTATCACTCGTCCTACCAGCTTGCAGCGTTGCCTGCCGCGTGTGCTTGCCAGAACACAACCCTGAATGAGTTGTGCGTCGTGCATCGAGCACCAGCAAGCAACATTGCACAACAAGCCGTCATCCAACCAATTCGCAGTCATGCCAGAGTCGCCAATCTCGGTCGCTCTTGTCCTCGATTGTCGAAAAAAAATTAAATGCACAATTTTGATTCCACGACCAACGCAGGTGTCTACATGTTCATCTAGATTAAAACATGTAAATTTATGCGGCAACTCGCCATATTTTGATCTATTACAAACATTCAACCAACAAAAATACAATCCTCGACACATTAGAGGCTTTAGAACTCATGCATAAACTAAACAAGTAATCGGGCCATAATAGTTCGTTCACACAATCTTGCAAAAAGTGAGTTATGCATTTCTGTTATGCTATTTTTTCCCCGAACACAATCAATTCACACATGAACTTAGTTCAAGCATTGCACAAAAACGAATAAACCTCGACTCTTATACCAATTGGTGGATTCAGTGAAGAACGTCAGTTACTGTGTATAAACAAAATCTACGAATTTAATCCTAACTCAGCGAAATTCTAAATTAAGTTAGCATTGAACTTGCACCGTTTTAAACTTTTGATGACTTTATGAAGTTTTTTTCGATCAACGGGACCAGGATCAAGTCTCGCCACCTTACGATCTTCGATTGTATATCCAACACCGACTTCAAACGTCTTGTTGGGAAACGAACGTCCATCGTCTTAGATCTCTCATGCATTAAAATGAACGAGAAGGAAAAAGATGGCAATGTTCTCTAAAATTAGGAAACACAATCTTTCTCTCTCCGTTACGCTCATAGCCCATAGGCATCTCTATCTTGGAATCGTCACGTGTGCTTGACTTTTCTCTTGTGATTGAGATGACCGAAATCTTGGTGGGAAAGATATATATATATATATATACATATATATATATATATATATATATGTATATATATACTTATAGGCTAGGGACCCTTAGGAGGTATTAAAGCATGACTACTAATATGTTTAAGTGTACTAAGTTATGGGCCACCTTAATCCATTGATAATAATTTTGTCCACTGAAGAATTATTATTGAACTTATTTTTAACCCCAAATTACATTGGTCGCCAGATTTATTGATTCAATTTATCTGCACATTAGACATGACAAAACGAGCTGGTGGGGTGGGCTGATTCATAGCCAGCCAAAATTCGTCTTTTGGTGGGGCAGGGCAGGGCATGCCTACAAAAGGCTATCCTGGTCCTTACCCGCCACTGCCACGGGTTAGGCGGGCTAGTCCACCTCCAAGCCAATAATAATAATAATAATAATAATAATAATAATAATAATAATAATAATAATATTCATTGCCCAAATAATTTACAAATTTGAAAAAAAAAAGAACAAACAACATACAAATTTGAGACTCCAAATCCACCTGTGACAGTCCTAAAAGCATCCTCAAGCACTTGTCGCAACACCCGACTGTGAACTCCCATCATACTTTCAACAAGCACAAGAAGGTTGAGGGTTTCGAAAACTCACCTGACAACGAGATTTCGATGAGGAGAAGTGGGCAGCTGAGCTTCGAGATTCTTGGGGGGAAGACGCCAGAAAGGTTGAGTAGCGCCAGTTTCGTCTGCGCGGCAAGCCTAGGCGTTAGCGGAGGTTGGGGGAGCAATTGATGGTTTTGGAGGTGCTGAGGGAGGTGAATATTTTAATCTTGGAATTAAAATAATTGAATGAAAAAATATGTGGAACAAATTAAAGTGTCCACATCAGTTAATCTGTCGGATATCAGTCCACTCAGCCCAGTCGATGCTAAAATTCGCCAGCAACTTTTGATTGTATTCCAGCGATCTAGGTCGAAGTAAGACTAAATTGGTATTATTGAAGAGTAGTTAGACTAATTTTGGTCTGAATAAATTACTGAACGAAAAAGAGAAACGACCTATGTGAGTGGACTAAAACTGCAATTTTCACTACAATATAACTATATTTCAGAGATTGTTTAAAGCAAATAATTCGTACTCTCTTTCGCTTGTAGATGAAACAAATTTTTTCTTAATTTCATACTGTACTAGTACGACACCCGTGTAGTACACAAGGACTTGACAAAAATTGAATTAATTTATAAGAAAACAATAATAAAATAATTATGTTCTTATTGGTAAATTACAAACATAAAGAACTGAAAAATAGTATTATTTAACATGAAACTGTGTTCTACACTTGATTTGTTAAAAGTAATAGTTGTTAATTATATTTATCAAATTATATATGTCGAAAGCGAATGATATCTATAGTATCATAAATTTGATTTTGATTTTTGTAGTTTTCTTAAATGTTGTATTGTAGTGATTGATTTCTCACAACTAATTTTTAAGTATTTTATATTTATAATATTTGATGATTTAAAATACAAATTAATATATACATATGTAATATTTTCTAAATTTATGAAATATTTTTTTTTATTTTAATTATGATATTCATTCGTATTTTTGTTTCAAATATCATAATAACATTTAAACTTTATACATAATTTATTTAAGTCGAGACATAATCTTTTGAATATTTTTCATATTTATTTCTTGTTGATACTCAATTTCTACATTTTTTTTCTAGATAATATACTAAAATAGTTGTTTATGGTATTTTAATAAACTAATACGGTACCCGTGTACTACACGAGGTACTTAAATATATTAATATTTATACGATAAAAAATAAAAATTATTTATATTTTTATTATAAAATTAAGTAAAATGAATACACAACAATTAACAAAGTGATAACTAATTCAATATGGCGTCCGCATTTTTTCACTAAATTTATCAAAAATGATATTTTTTAAGTTATATATGTGGAAAACAGATATTATTTACAACTCCATGTATCTGATTCAATTTATTTATTTTTTTTAAAAAAAAAAACAAGTTTATTGTATTGTGATTATATTTTATACTTATAGAGTCGGTGTCTCTCATTTATTAATTTTTTAAGTTTTTTAATTTTATATAATTTAATAATTTAGAATATTAATTTACGCAGAAATGTATTATCTTGTAAATTTATGAAACACAATATTATTTTATTACATTTAATTATGATATCGCTTTATATATTATATTTTAACTGGATTAATAACATTTAGTTCGTTATATAATATATTTAAATCGTGAAATAATATTTTATAATATTTATTATAATTTATTGTATGTAATACTTAATTTCTATATTCTATCTATGGAAAAACTAGATTAAATTAATTATT